TAATGGCACCCAATTTGATGCCCAACACCCTGTCCACGAGTAGGCCGCCGAATAGGCTGAGCACCGTATTGGGCCAACTGTATAGCGTGTATAGGAGACCGTACTCAGTGGTCGTGATTTTCAGGGTGTCCATCATTTCTTGTTGTAGGGATGCCGGTGCGTCGTAACAGAAATAGTTACCTGGGTTATGGAGTGTTGAGGGAGGTTAGTGTTTTTATTTATTTATTCGGTGTAGAGAATTCTAGTTTTTTATAATTTATATTTTTGTGTAATTATGTTTGAGTTAAGAATATTCTGTAATAATGAGTATACTAGTAATAAAGTTTATTAACACTGACTGAGTTTTATTTAACAATTTATATTATTTGTTATTGTTTTTATGTATGTAATGCCAAAAGTTTATGACATTTTTATCGGTATTTAACATTATTGTTTTATATTAATTCAGTGCATTATGATACATTATATACCATCAATTATCATGAGTAGATTAAATACTATCCTTACAATTGAATTATTTCATTTACTATTTGTACTTGTTATCATAAATTTTATATAAAGTTTGCATATTATTTGAATCTGTTGATAAGTAATTATAAAGTGCTTATTTCAATTTTGATTATTATATAACAATTTAATAAAAGCTATACTAAACTTTAAAATAGAAATATTATTTATTACTAACTTTCTTAATTGAATACTAGGTATTAAATTAGTTATACATTATAAATAAAGTTAAACTATAAATATATTGTAACTAAGCATAACTCATACAGTAATCAATTTGAAGATGATTTTATAAAATAATTGCTTAGATAAGGATTAATAACCTTTTGTTTTAATGGATAATTCATGTCTTAATGAATGACTTTTTCATTGAAATAACTATAGATTAGCAAAGAATTTATCACTTGATAAGTGCTGTAAGAATTGGTGTACTCTTTATTAGATGAGCGGCGAGTCTTAGACTATGTATTCATTGCAATAGACATTTGCAAATTTCACTAGAAATACACCCATTTATCATAATTTATTGCAATTATATTAGATACAAATAATTTAAAAAATTATGAGTTGAGTATAATAATGAAATAATTTATAATTATCACAAAGAAGTTATACTATAATTGAATTTTAAATTAACTATTCTTTAAAAGTGATAAAGGTTATTAGCCACACCTACCTACAGTATAAACAAATTCTTATGTCATTAAAAATATTTAAATTTAATTTTTCTGTTTCTACCTGGAAAATATAAATCACCAACTACAATGTTTTAGACATTATTTTTAAAAATGTTTCATAAACTCTAAATTTTTAAATAATAATACATACCGATGCCAAGTGAACACATAAAAATTAGGAAAAAGTATCTATGACAATTATGGGCCGGGTGACAGTACCCAACACCCGAAAAATCTGGATCCTCCTCGTCCTCCTCAATGGTGTCCACATTATTGTCATCGTCTTTATTACCCATTTATGTAATGTTTCACTAATTTATATATTATGCGAGAAAATGTGAACAAAAAATAATATGTACTGAATGTGAGACATAAAAATCACTAACAAAAACTTATTTGAGTATTAGTATTATTAGTAAGTTATTAGTATAAGTGTTATAACAACTTATGGCTTAATTGAAAAGGTTATGCGATTGCCAGCCAGTGGCACACATGACATTATGGTGTGCACTGGTAGTATATCTGAAGTTTGTTAAGTATGCGATAACAATAGAGGCCAGGGATGGTATCGTATTGATTGTATAATTTTCTTATCGGTAGCAATGAAGTTAACTCCCCTTTAGATTTATTTTCAAAAGTTTAAATGTTTAGTTTAAATGTGAATGCTACTTATATTATAAATTAATTAAAACTGATTTGTAATATACAGGTGACCGATCACACACTTCATTACAGTATTTAGTAGCTGATACTGTATGCAATAGCATCAGAATATTATCACTGCAACTACTGTGCAGGTATACGGTATACCCCAATACAAATTTATCTTAAATACCGGTGCTTTTAAAGTCATTAATGATATGATAGGAAAATTATATGAATTTCTTCGAAACAACTACTTTGATATGGACTGGACAGGTATTATAGTTAGCATTGAATTGCATATATTAATATTGCTATACTGAATACTTGGATACCCCTTATCCCAACCTTATAAGTTATAACTCATCAATAATTGAAACAATAAACGATTGATAAATAGGACTCACTTTATACTTAATATGAGTTGAAAGGATTTAACGCCTTTTTAAATGAACAGCAAATCTAATCAATCAATAAATAGCAATGCAGTCAATATACAGAGAATTACAACAAACCAAAATTATTTATACCGTACACAGTATAATTTTTTACAAATATTTGGCTTGCTAAATAAATACTTTGCAGTTTAATGTAATGTAAAAATATATATTAATAACTATTACAGTATTGTAAGTAAATCAATTATTACTGTAGTTACAAATCTATTAATTTTTTGCACAATTAACTCATTAAGTCATTTCATGTCGAGTACGTTACCCATAATTTTTTAATATTTTTAAAATACAAAATTATGTAAACCATTTAGTTTTTGCCAAATAAAATTCTTCAAAATTTATTTTCCACTTAAATATCTATACTGTATTTACACAAAAACTTTTATACATTCAGTCAATAAAAATTATGTTCGTATCGTTTTAACGCTTAAAATAAGATTTTCTAGTTATGTTTAATATTACAGATAATAATTAATAATATCAATAACAAAATGAAAATTTATTATAACAACTAAAACAATTAATTCTTAACCCATTGTCTCAAAAAATA